TTCTGGTCTAATTTGCATGGCCCAGAGAGAATTAGCTTGCTTCGGCTGGACCTCATTAGTGATGAATCTCGCCCTAAATGACTTTTGGAGTTGGTGAAAGCTCTTATTCGATGTCAGCTCCAGTTTATAATACCACCTCACGGCCAGTGGTCCCAGACTGCTTGGAAATATTTGACACATGAGGGCTTCGTCGTCAACATGGAGCGTCATCGCTTGCTTGTAATGGCGAATGTGATCAGTGGGGTCTGATTTTCCGTCGTAAAGGGTGAATGACGGTGCCTTGAACTTTTTGGGTAGCACAGCTGTAATAACTTGACCCTCGTATATGTTTTCTGGTATGCTTTCAGTCCCTTATTCTGTGCATTTATATGCTTACTGTGAAATTTCATGTGAAATTACGTTTAATTGAGTGAATCTTATGATTGTAGATTCATATCTGTCAAGTAAGAGAAATATCTGTTACAATTGTAATGTTCAGATAAAAAATTGAAAGCCTTAGAGGCTTGATAATTCGAAATTAACTTTATAAATGTGATGAGCATGATTTTTAGCTCATAATAAGGATTTTTGTAAAAATCTGATTCGGAATGATTAAACTAATTGATTTTTGTTTAATCAACTTTTATATATATGTATGTTTCTTCAAACATTTGACTTAGAAGCCATTACACAAATATCTCCTGAGAGAGAGAGAGAGAGTTAGAGTTAGAGAAGAAGAACAAAGATGAGAGAACTTCAACAAGGAAGAGATTGGGGAGATTGAGTGAGATTGTAGAGAATTGGACTCAAGGTATGTATAATTCACCTTAAATAGCCTCTTTCTTGGACTTGTGTAAGAATCCCCTTTCATTTGTGAGAACTAGGGTTTGTGATTAAAGTTTTGTGTGTGATAATTACTTAATTGGAAAGTTGTACTTATCATTTGCTTGTTTTGGGGATTAGTTTGAGCTATATCGAGGAATTACATTTTATTCTTTGCTTTTCCATGTTGAATTCACATGGTGATACATATGTATTGGTCATATATCAATGATAGCCATTAACATGAAAGAATTGGATTGTGTAGGTGAATTTAAGAAGGGTTATGATGTAATTAAGCTTATACTCATGTTTATTGTGATATTAGCATTTGTGATTCATGTTATGGTGATAATATGTTATAGTATAGCAAAGGGTTCCTCATTCTTTCCCTTTATATTGAGTTGTTATGATGAAGTTGTGCCTTAATTTGGACTGCCCAAAACAGAGGCAACGACCGCACGTGCGGGGCTCACAGCCGCACGTGCGGGAAGCACCACCGCACGTGCAGTGCTCACAGCCGCACGTGCGGAAAACAGGGGAACTCGAGGCTGGGCTACTGAAATAAAAGCACGTGCGGGGGAGGATTACCGCACGTGCGGCCCACCTTCCTGCACGTACGAAGGGGGACTGCCGCACGCGCGACCCATGCCGAAAAATTTCGTCTACTCTGTTTTCCTTGTTTGACCATCTGATATTACTAAAATCTATATTTGATGCTTTTAAAATGGTTATAAATTCATTAGAAGCAAACAAATCCGATATTGTTTAAAAAGGAAACTGAACTAATGTCTAAACTGTATGTGTGTGTAGGTCACATACATGAGGGGACTATCGCTCCACCACAGAACTGTGTGTAATAGTACGGTAGTAGTACGTTTTACTTATCGTTAATAATTATTATTAACGTTCTGTTATTCGCAAGTTAACTATGTTAACCTATATGAACGATTGAAAAATCTGTGTACATCTATATAACTCTAATATTAGTCTGCTCTGTTAAAGATGGGCCTACGGTCGTTCTGTTATAAGCCACCGAGTGTGGACAACTCTGAAGAAGATGGAGAAGAGGACATGTCAATGCCTCATCGACCGTGTTATGATCTGAATTAAATATATTTTAGGGCTTGTGGCCGAGGGAATTGGCGCACATGTCAATGTCCCACTTACCCATTAATGTTCAGACAACTGTTGATATTTGGGCCCGAGGCCGATCTGTAAAATCTGTTAGGCCTAAGGCCGTTTTGTATGATACTGGGCTTGAAGCCGCTCTGTTTAAAGATTGGGCCCAAGGCCGTTTTGAAAATGTTTAAAAAATAAGATTAATCATATGACCTCTGCTCTTATATACGCTATAATTCAGGTTTATTCATTAAATCAATTAAGTACTATTATTCACTGAGCCTTGCTCACCCCGTGATATGTCTGTCTCTGTAGGTAATCAACCTGGAGGTCAGTCTTAACCCATCATGCCCGTTTCTCTTTTGTCAACTTCAATGCGTCCAAGTACTTAGATGAAGCTCATTCATTTTGTGGAGTTCTTGCTAAGCTTTTAGCCTTGTGCTCTAAGCCTTCTGTCTAATGTCATGAATGTGCATAACCTTCTTTTACCAATGCTTTTGCTACACGCCCAATCATGGGGCTGGGTCTGTATATATGAATGTACATAACTGTTTCTCATATGTATGTTCACTGTATGTTGTCTACCTGATGCAATGTTTGTGATCTTGGCATATTAGTGATAACTCAATGGATACTGTTTATGTTGATAATTGCTTCCGTTCAACCCCCATATGTTATGCAAATTGAATTTTGTGTCCGTTTCCGAATTGGTCATGCCCAAACTTTTAGGGGCGAGTTTGGGGTGTGATAATAGCCCTTGCAATTCGTCGCACGAATGGGTTGTGTTTATCTTCCTCATCTGAATCGTCGTTTCTCCCTCGTTTATGCCGTGCATATGGACTTCCTTCAGATGAGTTGGATACATTAACGCGCCTTTTCTTTCTGGACTCCAGGGATGGTGAGTCTAAATCACTGTCATTATTGCGTTTCTGAAGTCGACGTCGGCGACCATCCTTCTCTCCTGAAGGTCGAACTTGGTCTTGGTATGCGGCTTGTTGGGATTTTGCCACCTCCAAGGCCAAATCCTGGCGCAGGCGCTCATTCTCAGCCATCATGTTCTCCAACCGCTGTTCATTTTGCTTTGCTTGATCCATAATCATCTACATTGTCTCATGCATTGAAGTTGAGGGTGAGGTCTGAGCTACTGGATCAAAGTTCAAGGCATGTCGCGTGGCGATATTCTCCAGTCCCAATATGTTTCTTGGAGTGAGGTCGTCTCTTGGTATAGTTTCATCAGCAACTATCGAAGGATCTTTTGTGACGCTCGCCATGAATATGCTTGAGTATTCCCACAGACGGCGCCAATTGTGGAGAAGTAGGTTTGGAAAATACTCTTGGATCCTGAAGGGCGTCCCTGATCCTCTGATTGCCACCTGAAAAATGGATTAACACTCCGGTCGGGGGTGCCGGAATTAGCACTCTGACAGGCAAGTTAGTATAGGTCTCTTGTTTGCTTGGGTCTTAAGTTTTTTAGGTCTATTCTCATATACCTTTCTTTGGTTGATGTTCCTCTATTTATATTCGCTTTTGGGCCCTAAGGTCGGGCCCACTCTTAATCCATCGTGTGATTGCTCATTCAGCCCCTTTTGTCGTATGCCAATTCCTATTCGGCTTTCTGTTCACTTGATTCTATGGCAACTTAGTGCATTCGGCTTCAGGATCGTACAAGACGGAGCCGAATATAATATATATCTTGATTATGATCAGACTTATTCGGCTTCCCTGCATGTACTGATATTCGGCTCCCACACTTTCTATGTATTTACAATTTCCTCAAACTCTTAAAAGGAATTACGAAAATAGAACGAAGAGATTATTTAGGGAGCAGTTTATGTAGATTGGACTTTGTAGATTGGATGGTATTATTCAGGTTTGTAGAACTCACTATGAGTCCCACATTAATGATTCGATTAGTTCATTTTATAGACCACATCGTGTAGATCATTCATATAAAATTAGGTTGATTCGATAACCGTAATCACATTAGTTTATCGTAGTTGTCTCCCGAAAAATAGATGATCTAGTTTTCAAATAATAATTATCGTTCATTATTTTAAAAATAAATGTCATAAACTAGCATAATTATAATTATTAAATCGACTTAATTTTCTTTATGAATGATTGAAACGTAATAGTCTAAAAAATAGACTATTCATATTATTAAATGGGATTTGTCCCCCACAACACTATCACAACTTACCCCTTTACTTTTTCAGCCGTGATCCATACACTCAGTGAGGGTCGCGCCCCCACTGGCTGAAAACTTAAAAAAAAAAAAAAAAAAAAAAAAAAACAATTTTTTTTTTAGACCAATCCGGGGCCGACACCTCACTGGGGGTCGACTCCCAGTGGGGGTATGAAGCTTTTTTCTTAATTTTTGTTAGCCAACTAATATAATTGGTTATCATTATATTGGTAAGTAAAGGGAGCCGTCATTTTCATTTGCCATTGTCATTTTACTTTTTTTAAATGTATTAATTTTTATTTTTATTATATATAATTATATTAGTATTCTTAAAATTTTAATTTTTTATAAGAAATATATTTAATGTGAAAAAATATTAATATAATTTTGTACAATAAAAATAAAAAATAAAAAATAAAAAATATTTAGAATAATGTGGGATAGAAATAGAGGGTTCCTAAATAAATGGTATACTTGGTGGTGTATCTTGTAATAGGATTTATGCTTCATTTGTTTTCAGAGGTAGAATGTAGGGAATTAATAGTGAGGGAATTAAGTAAAATTGTATTTGTTTTGATGATAGTTGTTAGTGTAGAGATTATTAAATTATTTTTATATAAAATAAATATAAAATAACAAAACAAATAAAAAAAATACAAAAACATTAAACATTAATATTTTTAAAAAAATGCCCACATGTAAAAAATAAAATAAAAAATAAATAAAAATAAAAAATTTCTAATCCGCCAAACTATTTTTCTAATATCAACTCTTAAATGCTCATCTGAATCCTATTTACAAGATTTATCCTAAACTGTTCGACTTAACAATCCATTCCTCAACACTATAAACAATTAAATAGAATCCACGGCTATCCTAATCCCAATTACCCCCTCATACCTCATACCCAAAACAAAGGGGGGCTTAGGGTTAATGTAAACAGAGTAGACAAACGACATGATATTGCTGATGTTGTAGGAAAATTCAGTGGAGAGCAGAAGGATTCCCAATTTAGCCAACATTTGGCACAAACAAGTAGAACTAGGATAAATTCAGACTAACATTCCCTGTCAAATGTGACATCAAACTTTACAGCAGAGATTGATGGCGGCCGGATCGCTGAGGAAGAAATCCAACAAGCGATCGAACCTGAAGCAGCCCCACCCCGCCATGGCCTCTACCTCTCTCTCTCCGTCCTACTACAGAAAAATCTATGTATTCGTTATGGTTCTTTTAGTTGTCTGCGTTCTCACTCTTCTCAGCATTTCATCGAGCATGTGGATTGTCTTTGGATCCAACGCTCTCTCTCACCAAATTTACTCCGTCCAAGTAGTCAACGAATTTCCTCACGACCCCACTGCCTTCACTCAGGTCAATTTAATTACGCGATTGTATATGCAATTGGTCTCATCTGATTAGATCAATCGACAGAGTAATTTTATTTTTATTTTTTTGGGTTAAATATGACTTTGTGAGTCAAATTTTTATGGAAATTGTTAAGAATTTTTGTGGAGATAGTTTGATAGATCAACCCTATACTATAGTAGCCTGCTTGTGTTTTATTTGTTTGGGTTTTCAGTGATCTAACAACTGTTAACAAAGTGTATGAGGACTTGATGATTGGTATTTCCAGTTTATTGTTTTGGAGCTTATTGCTAAGTACTTAGGAGGCTGTTTTTCATTTCTGTTGATGGAGATTAGAACATGCTCACTTTTCAGCAGACATTGCAACTTAATTTTAGAATTTAATAACGAAGATACCAGTTATAACTTATAACACACATAATATGCTGGATTAGTGTTTTTATTTTTTTTGTTTTTTATATATATATATCATTGGAATGACTAATTTTTAGTCAGTAATACATGATTTGGATTGGTGTACAGCATATTGAGAGAGCTTTTAGCTGACTGTTACTTAAATTTTCATGCATGGCGTGCTTTTATTAGCGATTGATGCTAGTGCTTGCCTGCTTTCAGGGGCTTCTGTATGGTGGAAATGATATCCTATTTGAGTCAACAGGCCTTAATGGGCAGGTGAGTTTGAATTCACGCTTCAGTGCATTCTCCATTCATTATTATGAGCAATGACTGTAATCACCATTTTGATTATGGTATTGGCTGCAATTTTGCAATTTCACTATTTTCACTTTTCCTTGAAATAAAATAGATTTCATGGTTGCATGATGTCCACGCCACTAACATTCATTAATATTTACGCTCCATTTGTTTGGGTGGAAAACATTTTCTGAAAAATATTTTTTGTATTTTCTGGTGTTTGGTACAATAGAAAACGAAAGTTAACGAAAAATATTTTACATGATCAACAAAAAGCAAGCCTATATGGGTAAAAATGTTTTCCACTTTTAAAAGGTGGAAAACATTTTCTGGACTAAAGTCTTGCCAATGTCACCATACTACCACCGGCACTCTCACCTACACCACCATCACCACAGCCGTTGCCACCATCATTGTTGCTGTCACCACCACTGCCGCTCCACCTCCACTTCCACCTTCGTTTCACCACCACCACCACCACCACCAAACATAAAAAAATGTTTTCTCTAGAAAATATTTTCTGAAAGAAGTTTTCCGTACAACAGATTTCAATTTGAAAATGTTTTCTACCCAAACAAATGGAGCGTTATTGTCCATGTAATTCATCAATTGACATTATTATTTTTATCATTTCAGTCATCAGTTCGGAAAGTGGCTCTTCAGACTGGAAAGGTACAAACATTGCGGAATTTTTTATATGTTTCAAAGTACCTAATTTATACTCATTTGCAATGAACAAACAATGAAATGAAGTATCATTTTTGGAAAGATGCAGTATGGACAGAGTGGTGTTGTTGCCTTCTTTGACATTTTGAGTATTACTGTATAGTTTTACAACTAATAATCACTATGTTTAAAAAAAAAAAAAAAAAAAAAAATAGTTGATGCAGACAAGCTACACTATTAGGTTCCTGAAATTTATTGGCACTGGATGCACATAGTAGAGAACAAATGGGACATTCAATTTGTCCAGCTACTAAATTTAAAGTTTTTATTTTTTCTGGTCTTCACAGGTTGAGGCTCTACACAAGATGGATTACTCTTATTTTGGAGAGGGTTTAACTCTTCTAGGTGATAGGTCCGTAAGGAAAATTGTCATCTCATTTTATTTCTCTTTTTGATTCAGCTAATGAACAATTGAAGTTGAGGCCCAATATATTGAAAATCATATTTTTCTTTGTTGCTTTTGGGATCTGTTTTCTGGAGGAATGTTGTCTGAATCATCTTCCGTGTTCCAATAATTGGTGATGATGTGTTTATGCTGAAGAGATGTGTATGTTTATGAAGACTTCAAACTTCTTAAACTTGTTATTTGCTTCTAGACAGGTTTAATAAGTTTATAGTAGTATTTGTACCAACTTTTGATGGAAACCCTTGTTTGGAATTTGGAGATTTTTTACTGTCGTGTCACCTTGCAACTATAATCCTGTATTGTTTGAGGAGCTTGCTAATGAAGCTAGTGATATTTTATAAATCAACTATTTGAAATGCATTTGAGAAATTCATTTAATAAGTGTACGTTCAGACAAAAGGATAGTTATGTATTTTTTAAAAAAAAAAGTAGAAAGTGCTAACAATACATAGATATGTGGATATATTTATTATTATTTTGTGAAACTGGACTGTACTGTTTCCTTTGTTTTCCCAAAAATTACAGACATTCAGTGAACTCTATTGTGTCCTGCTTTCATATTCTGAAGAAGCATATTTTTACATGTTCTGAAGAAGTATATTTTTGCTTTTACACATTGTGTGCTGTGTCTGTGTTATTGAAATTTGTTACTAGTAGCATCATTGGTACTAAACAACCAAAAACCATGAAAAAAAAAACAAAGAGAAGAGAGAAAGATGGAGGACAACACTAATGACATTGTGCAGAGGTATATCTGTATTGCTAAGAGTATTTGATATGTGTATCTTCTACCTGTATGAAGTACTTAAATAGTTGTGCCATCTGAAGTTTGTAGAAGAACTTCTATGACACTTTGCTTCTCTAGAAAAAGAGAAGTAGAGAACTCTTGCTCTGGAAATTATTTGCTGTTCAACATATAATAACAGAACCAGGATCATGTTTCTGATCCATTATTTCATGATATATATATATTTAATTTACTTTAGATAGTCTTTTAGTTTTTAGTATGATTGTGCTAATATTCAAAAGAGTCCAAAATTCTGACGTAGCAATCTTATCCACTTTTGTAGGTTGTTTCAAGTAACTTGGTTGGAGAAAACAGGTTTCATATATGACCAAAATAATTTAAGCAAAGTTTGTGCTTCGCCTTTTTCCTTATGTAATTTGTGTTTCTCTGTTATGTTTCTCCAGCAGTTTCTCATAAATTTAATGCGAATAGACATTGAAAAAGATCAGCTTGAGTTCTAGCATGTTTTTGTTTTAGACTCTTTCAGTCATCTAGAACATCCATGTTCTGTATTAGTTTGACTTTCACATCTACTGATGATTGGATTTGCACTGCACGTTAGTTGTTCAAATTTCAGATTTACATTAAATCCCTTGAATTAATTCCTTTGCCACCATGGCCGAAATCCAAACCAAAATTGAAGGGTAGAAACCTTTTTAAAAGTCTGATGCAGGCAATGCTGGCAGAGCATCTGCCTCTAACTGTTTGATGGGAACCCATGTGTTTCCTTCTGATGTAGACATGAAATGTTGGACACGGGGCCACGTGGATCAATGATGAACCCTCTAATAATCCACAGGGAGATATGTATGCGCCTTTTCCCCCCTTTTTGATTAGTGAAATGTCTGGAATATCATAGTGAATTTTTATGTACATATAATTGTTTTTGGACTTCAACTTGACGTAGATATGAATTGCTTTTATAATTGCACCATGTGAATTTAAATGTCTGCATTTCAAATTCTAAATATGGTTAGTTTCTCGAAACATCTGGAATCATTACTACTAATATGGTCCTCCCAAAAAGACAAAAATGTAAGGTAAGGAATTAACATGATAGGATACGATAGATGACTTCATGAGACAATAGTGATATAGAACATAGTGGGGTATAATAAACAAGTTAAATTTGGATTTTTTTTGACCCCTTTGCTTAGATATTGTCAAATCAAGATCCAAATCATGAATCAGAATTCCGTTTGTCCAAATTGTAAATTATGTCCAATTGTGACTCATAAATTCTAGCGACAATTTGAAAATAGATAGAGAAACATATTTAAATACGTAGAAATGAAAATATATTGTGCATGCAAATGATTTGGAAATACAGTAATGTAAAACTTATGAATTGTGATCATGTAGTTTAATAGGTACAACGCTTTTGCCAATTAAAAAAAAAAAAAACAAGGGTACAAAACGCTTCCATCCATGACAACAGATGCGGGTTTAAGCCCATTTTGATAAATATATATACACACTACCTCTTGAAAAAAATTAACATGAAAAGACTGAGCTAGAGGAAAATTGGATAGCGGGCAACCTCTCAAGTTTAGGACTTCCTTTACTTGTAGCAGAATAAGGAAGAGCCGCTTGCCTTCTTCTCTGCTCTCACTAGAATAGGAAGTGAAGGCAGTGAACGATGGCGCAAGGAGATTCAAACCTAGCTCCGAGTGAGCAAGCCGATTCCTAGTATTCAAATACCTTTCCTTGCTTGGCAGCTCTCTAAGGTGTCTATCTATCTTAACTGGCTCTTCCCCAGGATGGTCTACGATCAGATAGGAGAGAAAAGAATAGATTAAATCTAGTCATCTGGTTCTTCCTGTAATCCAAGATGGCAACAAAGAGTGTAAGAAAGGAAAAAGAAGTAAATATTCATAAAAGAATCCATAGTCTTAAGAAATACCAAAACTTTGTTTTGGTTTTCTTTTAATATTTGTAAAAATAGTTTCCTAATCCTAACATGGTTGGAAGCATATGAACATTGGTTAACAAAGTTGTCAGTTCCCAGGAAGTCATTCTTCACATGATTACACCACCTTGGTAGTGATTCCCACAAATAGTCAAACTGCACTATGGCCACTAATACAACGAAAACAGTTCCCATATAGGATCACTAGCCAGTTTCTTCCTTTTATCTTATCAAACATTTTCAATGAGGTACGAAACACATAAACTCCCAAATTTCACAAAATAATGTTAGGAACAATATTGTGTAACTCAAGTCAAAGGGGTCCAAGTCTACGAACGAGCAATCTTTTTCACAACTTTCAATACATGCCTCCTGTTGGTACTTGTGTTGTGCTTGGCACGTGGCGAGCCCTACGGGCGTTACGTCATCCCCATCACACATCCATGTGGCAGACCCCTGAAGCACCACGATGAGTTGGGGTTGTATGCCTAGCCTAAACGGGGGGGGGGGGGGGGGTGCGGTGGCATGCACACCACAAAACACAAAGCTAGCAGTAAGAGCTCAAAGGCAAATGAATAAAAGTATGAGGCAGCACCATGGCTCACCTAGCTCGCCATGGTCTTTCATGCCTCATAAGATAATGAATTCTTTGCCCACTTGCTCCACCTCAATGGCAACATAATTGGACCCTTGGCTCACATATTTTCACTTGGCTGCTTAAGCCCCTGGCTCACCCATGTACTCACTCACTCTACTTAGTCACTTGGCTACCTAGGTTGGGAGTAGGACTTAGGCACTCCAGCTTGAGATCATTGGAGGATTCTGGATTAGAGGCTAAGACCTCGGGATCGTCAAGGTCATGTAGCTATCTCTATGTAGTGACAGCTCCACCTTGACCAGGGTTAGAGAGAGGGAACGTTGACCTTACATTCGCATCTGTTGCATATGTGATACACCTCTCAAGATATTATACCTACACATGTAGCTCCTATAATTCAACCTTTCCAAGGGCCTGAATCATGGGACACAACTAGTTGGGCTGATATCACCCTCCTGTCAAATTGAGGAGAACTTGCTACCTGTCTATAGGTTGGTTGGGCTCTAACATTACTGGAGTCTATATAATGGTGTGATATATGCAGCCACAAAACATAACAACAACGACACAGAGACATCACAACGTAAACCCAAAAGTGTTCAAAGTCTCTCACTGCTACTCTCTCTATCTCTAAGCTTGCCTTGGTGTTCTCTTCCTCCATCTATGGTGATCTTAGGCCATTGAAGTGCCTGTCATCTTCTCAGAGGTCAACAACCGACCACCTCTAACCCCACGTACCCACACCTCCAAACTAATCCTTTTGCAAATAGAAACACGTGGCAAAAATCGAAGTCTACCATGAAGTCTTGTAGAGAGAATGAATTCTTTGTCGGTGGAAATTGAGGATTGGGAACTCTGAGAAAAGGGGAAAGAGAAGAGAAGCAATAACCCTAAAAGTCATAAATAGCCTTTAGAGACGTTTTTCCTGCCAATAATAAAAAAAAAAGAATAGGAAAAATACATAGGCTAAAAGAAAATTCTAGTTATAGTCAAATAGCGCCAAAGGTCTGATTTGAACTGGTTGCAAATTGGTTCCGGCAATTATGATGGAGTATAATGATGAACAGGGACTATGAGATTTGTTTCCCATCCATTTAAGTGATGTTAATGATGTCCTGCTATGTTTTATTTGAATTGTATGTTTTGAGATGTTCTCAAATATTCCTAGTGACTTTGAAAGGTCCATTTTTTTTTCCCATTTTGGGTATCCAAGTTACAAGCCTAGTTTTAATTATTTCAATGACTATTGAACACCGTCATAATGCAATTAAACCATTTTGATGTAAAAATTGCAATAAGCAGGGGTGAAACCAAAACAATTTAGTTTTGGTACATTACTAATTGAAGATAATTTCTTATATAAACATTGTGGAAAAAGTATATCATGAAATGAAAAATAAATAAGTCTACTAGTCTTTTTTCATTTTTTTGAAAGTTGAACTATTAATTAGATCTTAATACATAATCAATTAGTCCACTATATTAAGCCATTTTTGTTGGTTTACATAATTTGGTAAATAAAAAGCTATACGTGCCATTTGATTTTCAAAATTAAAAGGGAAGTGGCATATACTTCTTGTGTGAATAAAATCGAGTGGATAAAATTGATTCTATTAACTAGCATGTGAAATACTGATGAAACCGAGAGTTAGTAAAGTGATTTTTATAAATTAAGGCGGTCATCTTATTATGCATTTTACAAATACTCGTAAAATGTAGAGGTAATAATAGAATGGCGGGGTCCCCCTGTGTAGTTCCGCCCCTGGCAATAACCTTCAGAATACATTAGTATACCATACAATCGACTGTTTATATTTGGCTTCTGCTTAGATGTTTCTCAGATTTGAGATGATTTTCATGCTTTAATATTTGGCGCAGGTTGAGAAATTTACTCATCAAATGCAAGATGGTTGGGGTCTGGCAACAGATGGGAAAATTCTTTTTGGAAGTGATGGAACTTCAACATTGTATCATATTGACCCTCGAACATTTAAAGGTTTGTGTGATGCAAAAGTTATTCTCATTCTCAGATCCTTTTTGCATGCAATACATTGGGTATCGCCGTCGCACGTGTGTTGTTTAAAATTCTCCTTATATGTGTATCCTTTAAGTTGTGTACATGGAAATATGATTATGCATGTTCTACCTGCTTTAGTTGTTGTTACATGTTATCCTTTGTTGAATTGAAGCTTTGAATTGAGGATGTAGAAATTAATTTATGTCTCTTGCGTGATTGATTAGGGATTTCTTAGTTAATACATGCTTAATTTAATCAAGTGTTTAGTTAACTTGAGTTAATCAACATTATTACCTTAACCCTAAGTATGCTTAACCATGATTAATTAGACTTTTTAACCAATGTTTAATTATACTTGGGTATGGATTATTTAAGATTAATCAATGTCATTAGTAGATGGGGTCAGTCATGATGAGAGAGAGAGAGAGAGAGAGGTAGGTAGGAGGACAGAGAGACACCTCCTACTTACAAAAATTCTACAAAAATCCTAGCTATAACAAGTGTTCTCCTATGCATATATAATCCATTTTTATTTAAAGTGTGTGCATCTGTTCTAATTGTTTGCTCCTGTGATATGACAATGATCACTTTTAGCACATTCTTTCATTATTTTGATGTCTTTCTATTTGTATTTTCACAACATTTATGTTTTTTTTTTTACTGATGCAGTCATTCAAAAACGAACCGTCAAGTATGAAGATCATGAAGTGTACAACCTCAATGAACTGGAGTATGTAAATGGTGAAATTTGGGCAAATGTTTGGCAGGTATAACCCTATTTGTTTGCTTGTTTGATTGTTTAATGGCATATGAAGCATTGCATAAAGGTGAGGGCATTTCAAAGATTGAAGATGTTCTCCAATAATAATCTTTTGAATTCTGATGTGGCAACTTGCTTGATAAGTCAGTTTTCTTCCTTAATGACTTTATGTAAGTGCATATGTTATCTTACTTTGTTGTAATTTTGTGTAACACAAAACTTGAAAATGATGAGCTGTCTTAATGAGTCTCCAGAATGCTACTAGCAAATCCTGTTTCATCTATTTACTTTTTGAGATACTAGTTTTACTCTGCCTTGGCCACCCCAAGCTTCAGGAAAAAGCCTATAGATTTACTGTATATTTGCGTATGTAATGTACCTTTTAAACACTAATGGTTGGCCCCTTCACACAACAGCTGGCCTGCAAAACTGGTCTCTCACAGGTGGCATCACACAAATTCGACATGTAAGAATTGGGTTTATTTTCAGCCATTTCAATGGGTACAGATGGCATAGTTAAGATGAAGAGAAGGGATCAATCTTCATGGCCCCATGAACCCATTAGTCTTTTCAGGACTGCTATCTCTAGTTTGCAAATATGTTTACCGTTGTTGGACTGCAGTTTGTTTTATAAAGAAGCTTCTTCCATTTTATTTATTTATTTCTTAAATCATATCAGGAATTATGACTATCCACTTCATTAATGCCACTATTTCTATATTTGGACTCCTCTGAGTATTGTCAACATGTAATTCAGTTTACATTGTAAATAATCTCGGCAATTGGCTCATTTTATGTAAGAGCACCCATGACAAACCATGTTATTGTGACTTCAAGAATTTTTGTATTATTTTGAGGGAAAATTGACCTAAACTCACAATAAACAAATTCAATTGCAATTGTACTACTCAAACTGATTCATGTGTACACAATGGCCCCCCCTACTGATAATATTCCTGCATCCACCACTGCCCCTAGTGTTGAAAAATTGGCCCTTCTCCTTGCCCAAGCATTATTGATTATGGACTTCGATGCCTTGTAAAAAGGGCAAGTCCTTTTTTTAATGATATAGATTTGGATAATTAAAGATATATTTCATTTTTTATTCTGTATTGCTTTTTAACTTTTTTCCATTTTTTATTCTTGAATTTGTTGCTTTAGATTACCTTCTAAACTTTCTGCCTTTATGTCATTCAGACTGACTGTATTGCTAGAATCTCCCATGAAGATGGTGGTGTGCTTGGGTGGATTCTCCTTCCCAACCTGAGGTTCTGCTTTTTCTTATTTCTTCACAATTTGTAAACTCATTGTCAGTTTATGTTTATTGATCAATTTACATTGTTCTTTGAATCGGCTACTTGACAATTAAATTTAACAATTATTTATTTATTTATTTTTTTTTGGGTAATAATTTTACAGGCAAGGATTGGGAGCAGCTGGGAACAATGTAAGCTACTTTCGATAAGAAAGTCTCCATATATGAATTGGCTTCATTTTTCATTTGGGAAAATATTTTTCTTTAAATATGAGTTGTCTGATTTACTTATGTATTGGCATTTTACCACCTTCCAGAATATTGATGTTTTGAATGGCATAGCGTGGGATAGAGACAGAAACCGCATTTTTGGTAAGCTTTCATCCCTTTGTCCTTTGTCCATAGTCATTGTCAGAATTTGTTGTTATATATTTTTCATGGAAAACAATTTATGCTGATTTCATGGTGGGTTGTATGAGAATATTATGGTTGGAGAAAAGGGTCAATATTTTTCAGCATGACATGGTGGTGTTCTGGTGCTCTTTCTTTTTTCTTTTTTTGTTTTTGTTAACGTGAATAAAAATGTGTAGATCCTCAGTGGCTCTGCAGAAAGGAAAAAAAAAATTGGTCTAATGCTTAACCACATTCTTGGAGATTGTCTTCTTTTATGAAGTTACAAGATAAATGACAAACTAAAAGAATTGATGTTTGGGATTTTTCATTTTGCCAGCCCTTGTGAGTTTCTTGACATTATGGTTTTGCAATGCCCCTCTAAATTTGTCCAGCTGCTTCTCTCTCTCTCTCTCTCTCTCTCCAGTGACAGGAAAATTGTGGCCAAAGCTTTATGAGATCAAGCTGCAGCCAGTGAGGAAACCGTTGCATGGAATCATTGAACAAATGTGCATTCGAAGTCCAGTCCACTTTGTGAAACCATAGATCAGATATGCCCATCAAATTGGGGCTGGGTCTCATAGGAACATAGAATAGAATGGAAATTTTGTGTTCGACATGAACTTCAACTTCCAGACCGGAAATACAGATCAGTTTGACAGCTGCAATCTCTTTTTCATTTATTTTTCTAGTCTTCATCAGTGCTGCATGAACTGTCAAGCTTTCTTTAAGAACAGAATGTCCTAATGTACACAATCATACAAGAGGTAAAAAAATAAAAAATAAAAAGAAAAAAGAAAGTTGATTGGAATTGAATTGTACAAAGTAAAATGTTGGAACTGGCTTGACTTTTGTAATTACTGCTCTTTTCTGTCTGTGTGTGTGCGAATTTTGCCAACTTCTCTCAGTTCCCTTTTTGTGTGCCAATGTGAATTTTTGCTGTTGTTGGTGGACAGAGTGAGCACATGAAAACTTAAACATTGCATTTTGTTGAAGTAGAAAGAGAGGCTTTGAGGATGAACACTCATGTACTAGCAAAGGGGCAAAGATGTTTTACCTAGAGAGATCATAGGATCCAAGAAGATTAAAGTTGAATGATAATGAATAATCATATACAACGAACAGTTAACAAGATTGCGGTTAATTGCTTTGCTTACACACTAGGCTACACTTCTCTAAAAGCTCCGGGGGACATCCCTGATGACAAATCATCACTGCGAAGATGTAGGTGAAGATGTTATTTGACAAACTCCTGTCAGAACCCTTCCCCAAGAAGACGTTATATTTTTATCATTCTTACTTATATTGGTGTGTATCTGTATAGTTGATTGTTTTTCATCTAAAATTCTCTCTACATATGTTTTTATTTACTTTTACGTGCGAAGTATTCATTTTATTTAATATTTCTGTAGTTTTAATTCATTATATATTTTGTAACAGGTGGTTGTGCTTCCTTCTAAGTAGAATTTGAGAACAGTTTTAGATCATAGATAAGTTAAATGTTAAGAAGAGTTTTTTTTTTTAATTATTTAATTTTGATAACTCGGTATCTAATCCAATGGCCACAATTAAAGTTAGGGTAAAGCGCGGTAAAGAACTAACCCCAATAAATTATTTGCACATAGGAGATCTTGACCTTGAGACCATGGAGAGAGAGAGAGTAACTACTAGGCCAAACATACATTTGTTTTTACTTCGATCACAAAGTTATGGGTAGCTCCAAATACACCCAAAAAACTAAGTTGGACATCTCATTACTTTGAACACTTTAATTGAAAATTTAATTATTTATTTATGTTTTTATACACCCCAAATAATACCTATTATGCCCCTACAAATTCTAAAACCCCTAGAAATATACTAGAAACTTACTTTTTAAATCACATTAGTCTAATAGTTACAATAGAGGCACAAACTCATCTTTCATGACAAAGTCAACCCTCGCCTCCAACACCCTCATCGCCAACCCGCCATCTCCAACCCATCATCTCCAAACTCCAACTCCTATCATTTGAGGATATTTTGGCATTCCAATTTGGCATTTTTCAATTTTGATTCTTTAAAAAACAAGTGAGTTCTACAATTTCTTCGGATACTCAATGCCAAATAAAGGAAGTATGTCTGGATACTTAATTCCGAACAACAAAAAATTAGTTCCAGCTTTTTCATCCGGATACTTAGTATCAAAGAAATTAAATATCTTCGAATACTTTAGCTTCGTATAATAAAAAATTGTTTCCAACGATTCCATCCAGAGACTTAGTGCCGAACAAATTAAATATGTCCAAATACTTAGTTCCACAATGATGAAATTGCTTCGAATACTTGGTGCCGAATAAATGAAACATGTGCAGATATTCAGGCCCAAAAAATAAAAATAAAAAATGGAACATCTGTAATATTGGACAGTTCTTTTTTATTCGAAATTCAAATATGAAGAAGTTAAAAAATTAAATATTCAAAGATACAAACCAAACATAGACAATTGTTCGGATATTAAATATTGAACAACGACCATTATTTTGAAAACACGTTGCTAAATATATGAATTTTGTTTAGAAACAAGTAAATGAATAAATGTAATTTGTTTGGTACTAAATTTTCAAACAAATTTCATAAACCCAAGAGTCAAAAACGATGAACGTGAATAGAAAACTTAATTTCTCTCTCTCTCTCTATATATATATATATAAACTAGTTAAAAATGTCTTTTTCATTATCCATTGTTATTTTCAAAATGAAATAGAATGCAAAAATGATAGATTCAAACAAAATAGGGTTGGGTATGAAGATGAAAAGTGAAGAGAGAATAGTTTAAAATGTCTACTTCATTGTCCATCGTTAATTTCAGAATGTAAAAATGATAGGTTCAAACAAAATAGGGTTGTGTATGAAGATGAAAAGTGAAGAGAGAATAGAAGGGAGAAGGAAAGATTGAGTTTGATTATGAATGAAGTGTCCAAAATACTTTGATTTATACTTTTTTCAATATTAAATACTTTTTGGCCATTTTAAATGGGGATAAAATAGTAATAATTTTTTTTTTATCAAGTTTGGGTGCCCAACCTGTTAGGTTTTTGTAATTGACAATCCCCGTTGGGCAAAACTATATTCAGTTATATTTTTATTTGGTTTATTGTATATGTGAGGTTATAAGAGTTTAGATGCGAATCCAACCCGAGTTGTGCATGTGTAGAGAGTTTGTACTAACATTCTGTATATTGACTTGAACATCCTTGTTTGCCACTTCGTTGACTAAGTATTGCCCGGTCAGCTCGTAGGGGTCCAAGGGGCAGTGCCCCTGGCAGATCCGGGGCAATGCCAAGGCAGGGTGTAGGGGCAGTGCCCTCGAAGCCAAGAAGAAGTCAAAGTGGTTTGACCGCTCGAGCAGTACAGTGGTTCATCCAATATCTCTGCATGTGTCATGAACTTTTGCAAAAAATGTTTCATAGCTCGAGCTGTGGATGTTGCGCTCAAGCGATTGGCCTATATGTGAGCACCACCTTTAGTCACACCAATTGAGCAATAAAGTGTGCACTCGAGTGGTCTTCGCGTCTCTGTTTAGTATAAAGTGCCCTGTTTGTTATTTTTAGGGTTGAACTCGTCCAGATTTTTAGAAAGGAAGAAAAAACAAAATGTTCTATATTGGAGGATGTTTATATATGAGTTTCCTTGATGTATAGAAGGTGATAGATCGATCAACGAACTATATATTGACAAATATCAAGGGTTGATTTTGGTCTTTTATTCAAAAAAAGAGAGAGGTGTTCATCGGTGGATTTCAAGAAACTTGGGCTTGAAGCTTTGATGGATTTCAAAGTGGCTCATCGTCGTGGATTCGACATCGACGTTGTGGATTCAACGTTGGGGAAAGCAATTTCGAGGTCAAGATGGTGGTAGAAGAGACACGTCGGGTTTAGTTCAATTTGGGCGTGGATTCGCTAGCTAATTGAGAGTTCTCGTGTGTAATTCATTTGTCTTCTTAGTGGATTATTTTGTGATTTTGGCCCATGATTGTTTTCACAATTTGAGGTGCTCCAATTGTGATTTTTTCCACATTAAATTGTTATACAGATTTATTATTGATTATTTGCTTGGAATCGCTATTCATTATTTAAAATTGAATCATAATCACAAATTAATATCTTGGCGGGTTTTAGATTTTTTTTTCCTGGGGCGCAAATTGAACCTCCTCAAAGTTATTCAATTTTTTAGGATAGATCATATGTAGCGCCCTCAAAATAAAGAGGATAATTCAACCCAATAGACTCATAAACATAATAGGAAATGTATTACTTTCACTCATTAGAGTTTATATTACAAAAGAGATTATATATTTACACTTTCATAAATATTCATTCTGAAACTACATCATGTAACACTAATTAATTACAACAAAATAAACGCCCTACGAGCTTACATTTTTCCAAGATATTACCTGGTTATGACAAAAGAAGAGTCCTAAGCTCTATACATGTAAAGCCCTCGGCTTGAATAAACATTTAAACATATCATAACAATAACAGAGCTTTCAGCCCCTAAACCTCTCAAGCTATGTCCTTGGAGACAGCATGTTACCTGTACCTGAAAATGGTTTCTTAAGTGGGGTGAGCCAAAGCCCAGTAGAGATATGCTAAAACAATATATGAGATTTAACTAAGACATAAGCATCAGATAAATGTTCAATATTCATAACCAACACATGTTCTTTCCAAGACCATACAATATAGAGAACCATACCTCAATCCATTTCCATTCGTCCATTTCGGATTAGTTTATTTACCAAATTCATTATCATCTAATCAACCAAAATGAAACTACAACTCAGTGGCTTACAATTCAATACATTCATCAATCCAACACTTCTATTTTCTTGCCATTTACAGAATTCACATCCGAGGGAATCGACACCCATATATATATATAAGATTTCGGGACTTCACCCTAGACACTCCGGCCAATTTAGTTTTCGATGGAGTCCATCTCCTATCTCCTCCCAAACAATGGAGTACATCCCCTATCTCCTCCCAAACAATGATATATATACAATGTATTTAAAAGAGTTGTCATATACAATGACTAACCAGATCACATATTCAATAGTTTAATCAAACCGTCATATTCAATGACATAATTCAAATGATTAGTTTCAATTCACCTAATCATCATGCAGTTTCTGCAACAATCATAGCTATCCTCCACCGATAGCCCAAAACAGATATTTATCAAATTTCCATAGGTGAGAGATTTAACAAATCCAACTACACCATTCAATTATACACCCTTCCAATTTCATATTTCCTACATCAATTTCATTATTTATTCAAATAGTTCTTTATCACAAATTAGGGCAAGACCTTCTCATTTTTCCCAATATCATCCCCAAAGCCCAATCTCATCATTTATTTTTATATAACATCATAATCAAGTCCTCACCTACATATATGGAGCCAAATATAGAAAACCCCTCTTTCAAAATTCAAACCCCAAACCCTAGCTTTACCCAAATCGTCCCAATTCCCACAATTTATACAAAATGATAAATACCTAGGTTAAAACTCATATCAGAGAGTAGAATATCCATACCTCAGCGTTAGAAGAGCAAAGAAGAAGATGGAGACACTTCAAACAAGCTGACACCACGATCTATTCAGATCAACACGGAGCCCTCAAGGTGTTTTACCTTTTTAACAAAGGGACTAGGGTTGAGAGATCCCCAAATCAAGGTGTATTTATAGAGAGAGAGAATTTTAGAGAGAGAGAAAGAGAGAGAGAGAGAGAGACAGGTTAGGGTTCTTAGGAAAAAAAAGATCAAAGGTGATGCAAGATATCTCTGCTGCGAACTGATATACATGGTCTTCGCTCGAGCGAAGGAGTTGTCGCTTGAGCAACCAGACACAACAAATG